AATAAATTAATGAATAAAAGATACATGGATAAATAATAAAATAAATAAAAATGTTCTTTATTTTTGCATAATTAGACAAAATAACAGGTTGTTGGAAATTACATGAAATTTTACCTTAAAGTTTTCCTCACACATTACCTGTCTCATATTTAATCTCAAGCTCTTCCCTGATGCTGCTGTGTCACTTAGTACATTTAATAAAAAAAACTTTACAAATTACAAAAGTATTGGTTGGAATTGGTTGAAAATTTTAAAACAACAACTACAAAACAGGGACAGTTATAATTAAAAAAATTATATAAATACATTTCATACAATAATAAATACTCAAATTGCTTTTTTTAGATGATCACAAGTTTTTATTTTTAAATGTAACACTTATTTTTCTTATTATTATTTGAAAATATTAATTTCATTTCTGTGATGAATTAATCAAACAGAATCAAATAAATAAATATTTTCAAATAATATACAAATAAAATAATATAAATATTGTAATATTTAATATTTTTTAAGATTGATAGAACTTTAAGATTTAAAGTCAGAAAAAGGATATAACCACATAATAGTCCGTTTCATATAACAAATAGAATAAAAATAAAGTTATCCAATTAGTTTTAATAGTTTCTGTTAGCTTTAATAAACCCCTGGGACCTTAAAATGTGGCCATTGCTAAAGAAACACCCAATTATCCCTCACTATTTCCAAGGCCTGAGTGGGGTGTTAAAGTGGGAAACAAATAGTCAAAACCGTTCCTAGGTTTCACGGATGACAGTGTCTGCATGCGGTTGGGCGCCTGTAAAATCTTTATGGATTTCTGCTGCTGGGTTTTGTCAGGCCACAGCACAACAGACTGCCGGCCACGGGTTTGCTGGAGCTTCATTTGGGCACTGCATATACACTCTCTTCCCCTGATAACCGTGTCCGGACAGGGCTGTGAGTGTCAGCATGGAGTCTTGGCCAGGGAGGACGTCTGACAGCACAAATCCTCCTGCGAGCTCCAGACACAACCACAGGGATTAGCAGAAAACCGCTGGTTCACATCCAGCCAGAGAACAAGTGTTACACTGGAGTCGCCTCGGCTGACGACTTAAACACGCCACAATATGCTCTCGCATTAGGCAGCAGAGCAGAGAAACCGACAGTGTGTGCCACATGTCATGTATAAAAATAGACAGGGATAAAACACCCTGTTATTGTTTATAAATGTATGCACTGTTCAACGTTCAAGCAAAAAGAGAAAAAATATAAAATATTGCTACCTCAGTGCTACCTACATATAGCTAGTAGGTGTGTGTATATATATATATATATATATATATATATATATATATATATATATATATATATATATATATATATATATATACATAAATCTCTCTCTCACTATGCATTTTTAAAATGTTTAAAATATTATGTAAAATGTAAATGTTATCTTAAAATACTTTGGTAACACTTTACTTAAAGCCTTTATGTATAATGCATTATAAAGGGTTATTAAAGGGTATAATGCATGTAAACAAGTATAACCAAATTTGAAATGCATAGTGTAACAATAATTTGATAAGTGTTATAATGTATTAACTGTGGTTACAATTATTCTTGAGATTGTACAGTGCATTATAAGGTGCATTACAAGACATAATTAATGCATTACAACTACTTTCATAATGCATTATACATAAAGCCTTTAAGAAAAGTGTTATACTTAAAGCAATACTTTTTTATTTACTGAAGAACTAAAGGTGGTCTGTGTGTTTCTTAGCATATTGTTATTTGGTTGCTAGGGTGATCTGGGGAATTTTTGACAAATTTTATGTTTATACTGTTTTTTTTATATATATTTCTCATTTTAATATATTCATATATATATATATATATTTTTTTTTTTTAGTTATATTTGAATATCGTATATTAAATAAAAGTTATTAATTTATAATATATTCATTTTTTTTTATTATTATAATGTCCACTCAAATCGCATATTACATTACTTTTTTTAAATAAATAAAACTTTTTTTTTTTTCCATTTTTTGAAGAACTGAAGGTGGTCTGCATGGTTTTTAGCATAACATTATATGGTTGCTATAGGGTGTTCTGGGGATTTTTTCACTCATTTTATTGCCACGTAATTTGACATATCATTCAGGTCTGTAGCATAAACTGTACAAGATTCATGCCAAAGTTTAATACACATAATAAAGTTTACTATACTTAGGGTTAGAGATGTAGAAACAATGCCTGCCATAGAAAATCCACTAATAATATCACAGCCTAACATTTAACAATCAAATCCCAGTGGATAAAATCAAGCCTCGCAAAGGATTGTGTCCAAGCAAATAGTCTACTTCATCTGAATTATGCCACATCACTGAAGCTGAATGCTTTGTGAATGTCATTCCATGCCATCGTGAAGAAACGGGAAATTCCACTGTACCATCATGACCCCATCTAGAGCTCATCTGTAGGTGAAAAAAATTGCAAATGGTGACAACTGTGGGCATAAAGATTAATTTTGAAAGACATCAGCACTGATAAAAGTGTAATTTAAGAGCAGTTCATCTCTGGGTCTCGGCCCTGTCACTGCCTCAAAGGGAGAAGGCAGACTGCTGCACTGACACTGGCCTGTCACATTGTAATTGCTATCACCCTCTACAAGAAAATAGAGAGAAAAAAAGAAAAAAAGCACAGATACAGTTCCTGACATTTCTGTGTAAGACAGACCCATCAAAAATATAGCTGTATAGATTATTTTAGAGAATTTTGCATGCATTATATATACCATTAACACTGCACATTTCTAATGTACCAATACTAAACAAGTCATTCTCCATCTGAAAGCTTTATATAGTGTTTTTCAGCATCGGCATACGATATGCTTATGAGATGCATTTCAGCCCAGAAGACTCTCACAAATGCACACAAAGCAATTTGCAGAGGAATTCCCCTCTATTTCAGCACTCACAATGTGTCTCGGCAAGTTGTAATTTAGTCACATTGAAAGCCGAATGTCTGTTTATGTGTAATTACTCCCGTTTCTTGTGCTGCGTTTCCTTCAGCTCCTCGGTGTGTGAATGGGAGCTTCCCTCAGGCGTGTTCAGTAGCAGAGAGCAAATCGTAGCATGTAATCCTAACTCATGTCAGAATCCCTCTTTATGACTGCAGAGCTAATAATACAAAGATGTTTTCTGTCACACAAATCTGCTGGGCACGGTGCTTCAACTGACTGAAACACAAGAGCATTATGGGTAAAGTCATTTTATAGTGATGCAAAAATGAAGACAATGAATGTACTGTGCTACAAACTGCAAACGTAAGATTAAAATACATTTTCTGAAGACCCCATTTAATATTTCATCTCAAGCATGCTTTTTAATGATACAGTTGTCTCCTTAATACACAA